AGCTGACTATCCCTTATTACTTTCTTTATGAAGGCTTGGTTTTTTTATTAAAAACAAAGTGTAGATTTGCTAATTAGAATACCGTAATTCCAGAACATTACTTTTTTTTTTAAAATTTTCTTTTATATTTTTGTCATCTCGCTTGCTGCCATTATCTTTGTTCGTCTTGGTTGTTGCCATTGTCTCCAATCGCTCTTCAAAAATTTATTTACAATAATGGAGGCTTTCAACAGTATTAAAGTATAGATATACCAAAGTGCTGGTTGATAGTCCTTTATATAAATAAAGTTATATTTCTCCCATTTATACATAATATTATTTTCACATTTAAAAATTTTTTTTTTATAATATTTTAATTTCATTTTTTTTTAAAATTTTTTTTTTTTTTTTAAATTTTTTTTTTAAAAATTATTTTTAATTTTAGATTTGCAAACACACACATAATAAAAAAAATAATATTAATATAATTATAAAAATGGATCTTATTACACAAGTTCAAGACAAACTAGACCATTTGTTATATGTTTTTGGTACATGTATAGGTGTTTTACAAAGAGATGCCCCTCCTTCATCATTTACACCACAACAACAACCACCTCAAGAGCCATGGGAAGTTCCACCAAAAATGGCAATACAAGTTATTGAAACATCAAAACTAATTGAATCATATATAGAAAAATTGCCAGGTTTCGATAAAACTGAAGACGAACAATATGAAGATTTAAGAAATTTAAATAATGAATCAAAAGAAATTTCGGCGCAACATCAAATGTCAAGAAATGAAGCGAGTAAGTAAATTATATTTTAAAAAAAATATACATAATTATATTAATATAATTTTTTTTCAGTCGAAGTTTTAAAATTAGTTAAAGACTCAATTAGGTTTATATCAGAGGAATCTAAAAAAGTTGAAAAAGAGGAAGAAGAGGAAGAAGATAAATTAGAAAAGGAAAAATACGATAAAATCACAAATAAATAAAAATAACTGTAAATAGATAAAAATTTTAATATTATTATAAATAAAATTTTGTATATAGATATAAATCATCCAAATAAACCTTATTATACACACAATTAACCTCTCTTTTTTTTTATTTTTTTTTTTTTTTTTGAATTTTAATTTAATTTATTTTTATTTTTATTTTTATTTTTTTTTAAATTTTTTTTTTTTTTCTTTTTTTATTTTTCGTTTTGCTTTTATTACATTAGAAATAATAATATAATATTTAATAATTTTTGTAAATAATAATAGTATAATATTAAATAGTTATAAATTGTGTACATAGTCAAATATAAATTAATAAAGGGAAATGGCAAGTCACTTACTTACAGAAAGTTTACCACAACTTCAAGATATAGAAAGAATTATATCAAATACAGGAAAAATAAAGAAAATAACAGAGACTTTACAATATAATTTAAAACAAACTGCATTAAATTTAGAAAATCACTTAAATGAAGATGGTGATGGGAATATCAAACCCCTCATGGATGAGATAGAAAAAGGATTTTTAACTACAATTGCATTAAATGAAAATTTATCTAAATATTCAGCTGGAGCTACTAACTTAAAAAACTATGTTCAAAATGAAGTAAGTTTTTCAATATATTTAATTCAATACAATAATAATAACTAATTATTAATTTTATTATCAATTTATTTATTTAGATTAGAGATTTACAATCAAATAGTCAATCACAAGAAACTAGAAATACTGTAGGTTCGGGTGAAAATCTAGCAGATAAATATTTAAGTGACTATAAACTACCATTAAATATAGAACATTATAGGAACCATAAAGATTTTAAACAATTAAAAAGAGAAATTTGTGATGTTAATGGAAAAAAGAACGAAGATGCACTGGGTGAAGATGAAGACTTGATTGTAGCATCACAAACATTTAATATTCATTGTCCAATTTCAACCACCATTTTACAAGATCCATATAAATCATTAGTTTGTAATCATATTTTCAGTAAAGCCGCAATATTTTCAATGTTTTCTCGAAATTCAAATTCTATTAGATGTCCAGTTGCTGGTTGTAGCAAAACTATTATGAAGAATCAAATTCAAGCTGCCCCTGAAATTAATGATATGGTTAAGAGAGAATTGAGAAGAAGAGACAAAGAAATTAAAGCAAAAAGAAGCCAAGAAGAAATTACTGAAGTTTAAAAATATAATTTTCAAAAAAAAATAATTTTTTAATCGCAGTAAAAAAAAATCGGCCCAACTCAACTCGTTTCATATTAAAGTTCAAAAAAAATTTTTGGGTTTATTGATATAATTAGGTGGTAAAAAAATAAATAAAACCATTAAATATTTTTTTTTTTAATTTAATTTTTTAAATTTTTTTAATTTTAATTTTTTTTTTTAAAAATTATTATTTTTTTTTTTTTTTTATTAATATTTTTTTAACATCAATACCCAATTATTAAAACAATAAAATTAAACAAATAGATAATAATAATAAATAGAAATATCCCTTTTGTTTTTTTTTTTTTATGTATAATTATTTTACATTTTATAAATGATTATTATCAGTAAAAATAATTTTTAAATGAAACCAATTCAAATAAATACAACTATTACTAATAATAACAATAATAATAACAATAACAACAATAGTAATGAAGACCGACCTAAAATGTTAACTACAAATAACAATAACAATAGTAAGGCTATAACGAAAACCATTAAAACACCAGTTTTATGGGCAGTAGGCTTAGTAGTTTATATTTATTTTATATTATTTCAAATACTATCAAGTGGTTTGTCCAGTATGGGTTATAATACTATACCTTTAAATGATAGGTTTTTAAACAAAAGTAATACAAATTATTTTTATTTTTAAATTAAAGTATAAATTATTAACACATTTTTTTTATAGGAGTAATAAGATTAATTCCAAATAGATTAAAAAGATATAATAATATTCCAATTAGCTATAATAATGATAATAGTTTTAGTAGTGGGGATAAAAGATCTTATAATACAATAAAAGGAGGATATCATTATAATAAAAACTTTATTGTATTTGTGTCGATATCAAATAATGACAAAGAACCCCAAACCATATTCAATAGATTCAAACCTATATTTGAAAATCATCAAATCGGACTAACTGTTTTTGGTAACTATCGTAAAATATTTTATAAAATAAATTAAAGTATATTAATCCTTTATTTAATTTTAGAAACCGAAAATAAATCAGATACTCATAGACTATCATACAGAATTCAACAAACTGAATTCGATGGCATAATATGTGTTGGTGACGATAATTTAGTGCATGATGTAGTAAATTGTATATTAAATAAGCACGATTATTCAATTAACAGACATATACCAATAGGAATAATACCAGTGGGCAAAAAAAACGGATTTTCTAATAGCTTGGGCATTAAATCACCAGAAATCGCAATTAAAAAAATTATTCAAGGAAATGTAAACTATATAGATATTATGTCAGTTTCGCCAGTTAGAAACACAACACAACTCTCTTTTCCTAAATCAAATGAAATCAATTTTAATAATAGTTATAATAACAATTATATAGATATTTACAATACTAATAATAATAATCCAAATGGAATTAATTACAATAATAATAATAATAATAATAATAAAGCAATAAATATAAATATGAATCAAAATAATATAGGTAATAATTATAGCAACAATTTTTTTTATAAAGAGTATAAAGTTTATAGTATATTATATATAGGGTGGGGTGCTATTAGCTTTAGAGATTCTTTCAAACCTTGGAACAGTAGTGTTAAACCATGGCTATTATCAACATTTTATTCAAAATTTTCAAAATTTTCATTTAATAATTTCTCTTCTTCATTATACTTTTTACCATCAACACATTTCACCAATAACCAAATTACAAAAACAAACTATAGCAACAATAACAATTTAGAAAATAAAAACAATCGTAATGTTAGTAATAATAGTATCAGTATAAGTAACAAAAACCACGATGATATTATTAGTAATACATTTAATATTAAAGATGATGACATCAATGAAGAACAAGAAAACTACGATACTCAAGACCACATTTTATATTGCTCAAAAAAAAACTTGTGTGAAGGCTGCAAAAAACAACATATCGACTATGACTCCCAAGGTAAAAGATCGTCAAAAGATTTTAGTGACTGGAGGGTTGTTGAAGGTTTAAACGATTCAGAAAACAAAAGCAATTACAACAACGAGAATCATAGCACTGGAATGTCCTTTTTTTTAGCTGGCAATCTCAGTAATATATCAAAAGATTTCAAACCATTTCCTTTTGCTCATTTATCCGATGGTTTTTTAGATTTACTCATCAGCTACCAAGATGATAAAAAGAAACTTAATCAATTAATTTATGATACCAATCCTTCCATTAATTGTTTAACAAATGATAGTAACGAAGATCAACAAAGCAACAATAATATGAATAATAACAACAAAACAACCTATTATTATAAAACCAAAGAATTCATATTCAATGTAAAAAATGAAGATATACCTTTAAGTATAGATGGAGAACTATATAATATAAAAGAATTTGGGAGCACCACTATCAAAGTTCAATCTCATAGAGAGTTATGCGCTATATTTAGTTAAATATTAAAAATAAATTATTTTTTTTAATAACACAATCAAAATACAAAAGTAATTAAAGCTTAAATCCTTTAAAGTTTTATTTTTATATTTTTAAAATTTATAATACAAGTGTTTTTCTTTTATTTAATATTTTATATAAAATACAATTTGTATTGTTTAAATAAAAAAACTATTATTTATATATATATAATACTATTATTATTGTTGTTGTTGATGCTGTTGTTGTTGTAATTTTTTTAAATTTTCATACATTGTTTTAAATTGATTTGTTATATTTTTATATTCCTGTAAAAGCATTGGTACTTCAGTTATTTTTAATTCATCAATTCTGGAATTTTGATAGTTAAAATTTGGGATTTTAATTGAACTGACATAGTTATTAAATTGTCTTGATTCTTTATTTCTTATCTGAAGGTTCTTTTTTAATTCTAAAATCTCCATTTGATCCTGTTTATGCTTTTGTTGAAGTTTTGAAATCTCTTCATCTTTTTTATCTATAGTATTTTGTAGCTTTTGGGCCTCGCTGCTATTATGGGTTGGTGTTGTTGTTGATGATATTGTTGATGAAGACTTACCATCCAATAGGGTAAGGTTGTTATAGCTATTATTACTATTTACGATTAATTTATTTGATTCGTTCATTATAGTTTCAATAATGTTTTCGCCATATTCACTGCTATTTGAATCACTGTTATTTATGCTTTCATCATTTAAGTAAGAACTATCAAGATTTTTGAAATTATCATTACTCGAGCTATTTGGAAGAATTGATTTTTGTTGTGGTTGTTGATGCTTTTTCTGTTGTTTTTGAATAGAGGCAGCTGATAGCCCAGATGCAATTGCTGATAAATTACTATTTGATTTTGATTTTGGAGGTGGATTCCAATAACCTTGAATTTCAGCAATTAAATTTGTAACTCTAAAAACAAGATCGTGCTGTGAAATAGTTGTATGTGAATGCCTTGATTCAATGTAGTTAATGCACTCTACCAAGTACTCAGTATCTAAATCTGGGAACATTTCAACCAATGTGGCCAAAGCATTATCATTTGCTATTAATTTTGATGTAAGGTTGTTTGGTTTTGATGAATTACTACCATTTTCATTATTGTTATTATTGGCATTGTTGTTACTACCATTGGTTGGACTATTTGTTGAAGAAATTGAAGGTGATAGTGATGCTGCTTTTTCGCCCATTAACCTATGGTATTCCTTTTTATCAATTTTTAGTAATTCTGGTTTAATATTTTCAATAAAATAGATCGCTGAGACAAGCTGAGTTAAATAATAAACTGCCTCCGAATCTGAAGAATCTGAAAATTTGGTTATAAATCTAAAATGAAAAAAATTAGTATTTTTAAAATAAAAAATATTATTTTCACTATAACTAAAACTTACACAACATTTGAATGTAAATAAGGTGGATTGATCTTTAATACTACCCAGATTAAATTTGGTAAAAGAAAATCTGCACCAGAAACCTCTTTATGATTGTGCTTTAATATAGTTTTACAACATTTCATTATATACATAATCTTGTGTCTCGCATCCCTTGCGTAGTTTATTTTTAGTAAATATTTACCAGCCTTATCCCACATAGCCTCACTAAAAGAATAAGTTGGAATTTCCATATGCTCCAATGTAATGAATGATAACTTTTCAATTAATGTTGAAAGATCAGAATCCTTTTTAGCCTCCTCTTCGCTAGGTTGAAAAACATAGTCATATATCTTCTCTAAAACATATTGTTGTAAATGGAATGAAGAGAAATTTAATTCATCCTCGGCTGAATCGGACCATTGTGGATCTAATGTTAGGGTATTTTGCATATTACTGACGAAATCAAATAGGGCTTCACGTAAATCTTCATTGGCCACTTTTCTATTCTTTAGGGTTCTAATAAAACTATCGATTGATGATTTAATTGGTGTTGCATTTTCGAGCTTACTGAGGAAGTGTTCATAGGAGTTGATTTCATTCTCTTTAAGCAATCTATTAAAATCACTCTTTGTCTTTGTGTGCTTTATAAATGCACTACCGCTTGAAGAATTACTGAGTGTATCTAAATTATCAGACTGCTGAAAACCTGAATTATTGATACTATGGCTACCACTTAATCTATTTTGTTGTTTATCTTTATGAATTGGTGATGAAGATTGACTCGATGATGATGATGACGAACCTGGTCTTGGTAAATTTTGTAGATTTAATGATAAATTTGAAATTTTATTAAAAATTGCATTTTCAATATCTAAACCATTACTTTGTGGTTGCACTGGTAAAATTTTATTTTCATCTTTTGTTGGTAATGTATTTTTACTCGGTTCTCTTCTAAAAATTCTTGATAAAAATCCACTTTTATTAGAATTGGATGTAGTATTATTAGTACTATTGTTATTGTTAGAGGTGGTAATATTATTGTTATTTGAACTATTACTAACAACTGCATTATTTGTAATTGGAATATTATTAGAAAGAGTAAGACTACTATTGATATTATTACTATCTTTATTATTATCTTTATTATTATTATCTTTATTATCTTTATTATTATTATCTTTATTATCTTTATTATTATCTTTATTATTATCTTTATCTTTATTATTATAACTATCATTATTAATGTTATCATTTGATAATGAAGGAGATGTTGAATTTGTTGAATTTGTTACCGATTGTGTTTGCATTTGATTTAAATTTGACTCTACCGATGATGAACTAACAATACTCGATCCAGTATTGCCGCTAATACTACCTGAACTACTATTGGTAATAGATGGTGTTGATGATGATGAGATAGGTCTATCATCTAAATGAAACTCTGGTAAAATTGCGATAGTTGGTTGTGCAATAAATGATGAAGATTTTGGTGTTGTATTTGATGTAATATTCGGTGTTGATGGTGCATCATAATTAGTTGTTGTTGTGGTGGTGGTTGTGGTAGTCGTGGTTATTGAGGTTGGGTTACTGTTTTCTGGAGGATTTGTTGATTCTGTTTTGGGGCTAATAAGTGGTGATTGTGATAATGGATGCCTTTTTAAATATATTGTTTCTTTATTTGTACTACTATTGAAACTTGATCCGCTACTATTAATACTGTTGTTGAGACTATTTGCTTTTTCCCTTATAGATTCTATTATATTTTCTAAATCTGGATTACCAAAACTATTTCTTTTATTATTTCCATTTGATAATTTATTTTCCCCATCATTTTCGGATTGCATATCTCTATTATTAAATACATTGCTAACCACCTCCTTTTCCTCCGCACCAACTTCTTTATTGTATCCAATATCCTTATCGCTAACTGCCCCATCATTTTCTTCTATTTCCCTATTATCCTCTTTTTCTTCTTTATCTTCATTTTCTTTATTTTCTTTTTTTTCTTCCTTTCCTTCATTTTCTTCCTTTCCTTCATTATCCTCTTTTCCTTCATTTTCTTCTTTTCCTTCATTATTATTCTCTTTTTCTTCCTTTTCCTCGATACATTTTAAATCTCCATTAATATTATCATCACCTCTATGATTTATATTATTATTGTCTATACCATTAATCTCAATACTGGCTTTATTATTGTCATCGCTAATTATTAACTCATTATTTATAATATCATTATTGTCCGATTTCTCTTTATTAATAACTTCTGGATTATGCAATATTATTTTTTCTATGTTTGTATTACTATTATTTATAATTTCTTGGTTATTAATATCTAAACCGTTGTTGCTGTTATTATTATTGTTTGAAGGACTATTAATAATAACATCCTCCATCATATTAATTTATTATAAAATTATTGTGATAAATTTTTTAATTTTTTTTTTTAAAAATATTTTTAATTTATTTTTTTTAATTAAATAAAAATAAATTTTAAAAAAAAAAAATAAAAAAAAAAAAAAATAAAAATAAATCTCAAATTATTGATAATTTTTTTAAAAAAATAATTACTAAAAATGATATATCATTATACATTTATTTTTTAAACCTATAGCAATTAATAAAATGTTTAAGTATTTAAAAATACTTTAATTGTGCTACCATTATTATAAAATTAAAATTAAAAAAAATAAAAAAAAATTAAAAAAAATAAAAAAAAAATATTATACTTTTTTAGAAATTTTAAAATTAAAATAATTAATATTATATAAAATAAAATTTAAATTAATAAAATATAGTAATTTATTTAGAATTAATATTTTCAATTTTAATTTTTTTTTTTTTTTCTTTTATTTATTAAACAAACAAAATAAAGTAATACAACATATATTATTATAAATATTTATATCTTTATTAAATTTTTTTTTTTTTTTTTTAATTGCTTAGATAAAATTAAAAATGGATATTAAACTTAAAGAAGCCACTTCACCAAAACCAACCAATCAAGAATTATTGGTAAAATCACCAACCTATAGCAGAACAAAAGAAGAAAGAAGAGAAAACTGTGGTGAGATGAACCACGAGTTTTATCTTAGAAATGTTTCTGAAAAAGCTGAACTCGATAACAAGAGAAGCCAAGAAATTGTAGATCATAATCTTAGAGAAATGTCCAATGAAAGAAAAGAAAAAAGCTTTGAAGTAAATCAAGAATTAGAAAGAGGTCTCGAACAGCGTGATAAATATATATTCGAAATAAGTGAAAAGGGTAGAAAAGATGTAGACCATGCAAATAAAGTTCATGACAGAGTTATGAAAAATAGAGAAAAAGAAATTAATGACTACCAACTAAAAGAAAATAAAAAACATCTTCCACAACAATAAATCAATAAACAATTTAAAGTGAATTCACTTTTTTTTTTATAAAAACTTTTAAAAGATAGTGAATTTATTAAAAAAAAAAGATCTAAATTATTGGCAATATATTAAATTTTTTTTAAAACCCAGAAAATATTTCTTAAAGGAATAAATAAATCTATATCATTTAATCCACTTTTTTTTTTGGTAACTTATAAATTAAATCATAGGGTAATAGTTTGTTTAAAAAATATCCAATGCCTTTCGTTTATTTGCTACCCAAACCAATCAATCACATGTATAAAAATTTAAAACATTTTTGGCAAAAGAATTGATCGAAAAAGTACAGATTTAAATCTGAAGGTGCAATCAAATAGTTAAAAAATATTCAAAACTATCATTTATTATTTTTTAAAATAGTTAAATAATATCCAAAATTATCATTTTTTTTTATTTCATTAAAGTTATTTATATCTTTATGAATA